GGGGGGAGAGGCCATAGATGAGGGGGCAGAGGACAGAGGACAGAGGGAGGGGGGAAGGCCATGGGTGAGGGAGACCGGGGTGCGGGGGACCGGGTTGGTGGGCGTGTGTTTGTTTACAGCGGAGGACATCAGCTGATTCCGGATAAGAGATGGCCGGAAGTGACGAGATTTTAAGCTGGGTCGGTTGTGGTCACTAGGGAGGGGGGACGGGAAAGGGAGGGGGGGAGGAGGGCCGGATGAGGAGAGCCGGTTGAAGCTCATGCCCGGTATGAGGAGGCGATGAGATAAGGAACGGCCGGATATAAAGCGGGGAAGATGGGGCGCCGAGGCCACTAACGCGAGGAGGCTTTCATGTTCATTTTTTTTTTTTGGGGGGGGGGGTGAGGCGGGGGGGTGCAGGGTGGAGAGAGTACGGACATTTCAGTTTTCCCTTTTTCCCTTCTCTATCTATTTATCTATCTATCTATCTATCAGTCTAATGGTGTTTATTTCTCTATATTTTTTTTTCATTTCTTTTCTTTTATCTGCCCCCACCCTTTTTTCTCTCCCTCTGTGTGTGTGTTTGTGTGTGTCTTTATGTATGAATGCATTTTTTCATACTTCTGCATGTATAATCACCTGAATACATATCTACCTATATCTACTTAAATTTACTAAATTCTCTCTCTCTCTATCTGTCTATCTATATATCTCTCTATCTATCTATCTACCTATCGATCTATCTTCTATCTATTTCTCTCTCTCTCTCTCTCTCTCTCTCTCTCTCTCTCTCTCTCTCTCTCTCTCTCTCTCTCTCTCTCTCTCTCTCTCTCTCTCTCTCTCTTTCTATCTTACTCTCATTCTCTATCCTCTTTCTAAAACTCCACTCCATTAATGTGCATATTAACCCAATCGCCTCTCTCTTTCTCTCTCTCTCTCTCTCTCTCTCTCTCTCTCTCTCTCTCTCTCTCTCTCTCTCTCTCTCTCTCTCTCTCTCTCTCTCTCTCTCTCTCTCTCTCTCTCTCTCTCTCTCTCTCTCTCTCTCTCTCTCTCTCTCTCTCTCTCTCTCTCTCTCTCTTTCTCTCTCTTTCTTTCTATCTTACTACCATTCTCTATCTTTATATTCTAAAATAACCCACTCATTTAATGTGCATATTAAGACAATCACGTCGTATGGCAAGGATACTTGCCGCGCCCACTGTAATGAAAGTTTATTTATTGTATTTACACATAGATGGCTCTACAAGTGCTCAGTCACTCAGTCGGTTATTAGTCCTACCCATCTCACCTGTTTACCCTTTTCCTCGACTTTTGGAAAGAGTCATCTGCACCATTTCATTGAGATTTTAATAACCATTTAATAATCATAATGTCAATAACAATAATAAAAGTATCGATATCAACTGTGTTAGAAAGAAAAGCACGTTTTCCCGCCAATTCAAGGAGTGGGGAAATCAGGATCGGTCACTAGGGCTACTGATAGATTCCTTGCCGGTTGAGCACATGTGGAGCCATCTGTGTGTAACAACATTCACAAAAAACTACAGGAGGCATAAATCCGGGGCGGTTGGGTTAATTCAACGAAGGAGGAGAAGAAGAAGAAGAGAACCCGAAGGGGAAGAAGAAGAGAAGAAACAGAGGGGAAAAAGAAGATGAAGAAGAAGAAGAAGAAAACGGAGAAGCGTGCCTCAAATCGCCTTTAAATAGACTTCCTTATTAAAAGAGCGAATCTTAAGCAAACTCAAGAAGCGGACAAGAAATCACTTCTGTAAAATCGCCGAGTGTCAGGCCTTGAATGACATCAAGGGAAGGCCGACGAAGGGTGAGACAAAAAAAGAATAAAGAGATAGAGAAAGAAAGAAGAAAAAAAAAAAGATCGGAAGAAGATGTTTTTGGGGGTAAAAAAGATTGCACAGCGAAACACGAGGGAAAAAAAGTTGATGTTCATCGCCTCAGACAGACCGACCGACTAATTGCCTGAGGTTTGGGGGGGGGGGGGGGTAAGGGAGGGGAGAGGGGAGAGGGAGGAAGGGAGAAGGGGAGAAAGGTGAGGAGAGAGAAGGGAGAACGGGGGAGGAGAGGGAGAAAAGATGAAAGGATGGAAGGGAGAGGAGAGGGAAAAGGGAGAATGGGAGAACGGAAGGGAGGAAAGGGAGAAGGGGAAAGAAAGAGAAAAGGGAGAAGGGGAGAACGGAAGGGAGGAAAGGGAGAAGGGGAAAGAGAGAGAAAAGGGAGAAGGGGAGAACGAAAGGGAGGAAAGGGAGAAGGGGAAAGAAAGAGAAAAGGGTGAAGGGGAGAACGAAAGGGAGGAAAGGGAGAAGGGGAAAGAAAGAGAAAAGGGAGAAGGGGAGAACGAAAGGGAGGAAAGGGAGAAGGGGAAAGAGAGGGAAAGGGGAGAAGGGGAGAAGTGGGAGGAAAATGAGGGGAGAGGGAGGAGGAAGGACTGGTGGGAAAGATTTGGGAAAAATTATGCCATTTGATATGTGATAACAGATGAATTTAATTGTGTGTCTGTGTGTGAGTGTATGTGGGTGTTTGTGTGTTTGTGTGGGTGTATGCACGTGTTTTTTATTTCTTTTTTCTCCTTCATTTTCTTTTTTTCTTTTTCTTTTTCGATTTCTTTTCTTTTCTTTCCTTTCTTTCTTTCCTTTCTTTCTTTCTTTCTTTCTTCTTTCTTTCTTCTTTCTTTCTTTTCTTTTAATTTCTTTCTTTCTTTTCTTTCTTTCTTTCTTTTTCTTTCTTTCATTCTTATTTCTTCCTTTTTCTTTGTATTTTCTTTCAATTTCTTCCATTTTTTCTTTCTTTCTATTTCTTTTTTTCTTTCTTTCTTTTTCTTTCATTCTTTCTTTCTTTCTTTTGCTTTCTTTTTCTTTATTTATTCATTTTTCTGTCTATCTTCCTTTCTTTTCCTATCTCCTTTTTTCTATATTTCTTTCGTTTTTTTTTTTCTTCCACGGAGTTTATTTACTTCTTAACCTTCAATTTTCCTTCTTTTTTGGCTGAGCGTCAAGGCTTAGTACATCAACATGACATCATTCCCGTGAAAAAATATATATATATATTGTGTGTGAGTTCGCGTGTTTAAATGTGTGTGTGTGTGTGCGTGTGCGTGTGTGTGTGTGTGTGTGTGTGTGTGTGTGTGTGTGTGTGTGTGTGTGTGTGTGTGTGTGTGTGTGTGTGTGCGTATGCGCGTGCGTGTGCGCGTGCGTGTGTATGTGTTTACGTGTCCTCTCATTCCCAATTTGTTAGTAAAATCTGCGCGAAAATCAGATTCGGCGGAAAGCCACAACAGATTTAAACACGTGATTATCTTTCCTACTTCAAGATTTCTTCGCAGTAATCCGAAATATTAAATTCTAATTAGCACACCTATCCTTTACATACATATCAAGCCTCTTCTGTCAGCGTTCTTCTACGAGACTGCAGATAATCGTGTAAGATCTTGAAATTAATGTTAGCGAGCGGAGCGAAGAGATTTGCCAAGCAGATACACCAGGAGAGCAGTAAAAGTGATTGATCAAATACATCCTCAGCCCCGCGATGGTGCCTCTGCTATCTGGCCTCGGGTGGAAAATTCTATTACCTTGATTAGATGGGGTTCGGCGTTAAAAGGAGAGGAGGAGAGTGTGCTAGAATTGCCCGGATGCCTATCATGCAGTGACGGGATAGGAAGGTGTGCGGTGAGGGTGTGTTTTTTTTAGGCGTGGCTGTAGTTTGATACGTAAGGACACGGATATGTTTATGGGTAACGTTTTCTCTTTACTTTTTTTGAGAGAGAGAGAGGGGGGAGGGGGAGGGAGGGAGAGAGAGAGAGAGAGAGAGAGAGAGAGAGAGAGAGAGAGAGAGAGAGAGAGAGAGAGAGAGAGAGAGAGAGAGAGAGAGAGTGAGAGAGAGAGGGAGAGAGACAGACAGACAGACAGACAGACAGAGACAGAGAGAGAATGAAAATTTTCCAGAGATGTCAGGGATGATGCGTCAGCTTTCAAAAGGGATGAATTACGCATGCCAGTCAGGACTCGGGATCGCAACCAAAGAAAATATAGAAATTCCCGAAATGAAGCCAGATTAAGAATCAATTGGTCAACTCGTCGGCTTGATAAATAAGGTTAATTACATATTTTTTTTATCAATAGGTTTTGTAAAAGACGAAATTAGTGTAATCATTAAAGATTGCAAAGTGCACTCTCTAACTTGGTTTTATTTTTCGCTGATTGTTGTTGTTATGAAATCTTCCTATGCAGAAAGTAAATTTTAAACAGTATATGCGGGTAAAATAAGGATTGGGGAGACGACCTTCCCCTCTTGCTTTGCTCGCCAATGGGTAGCCGATCCAAAACAAAGTCGGGCCAGATGCGCACGTCCCATTAGGCTAAAATGGCGGCCGGCGTGCGGAGAGGGACAAAACCCACATCATTTAGTCGGTCATCAATTTCCCTGAGGCGTGACGGCCGCGAGCCCCTCCCCGGAAGGCCCGCAATCTCCTTTCTTATCGCCGCTCCCGCCTTCGCTATCGCCCCGCCAATCGCCGGACGCCACCTGCTATCCGTCCACCAATCACCTATCAGCAAGATGGAAGTGGCTGCAGGCTTCCGCACGTTATCACGAAAGTCCCCCTTTGTTCCTTTCGTTCGTTCCGTCTCTTAATTTTTTTTGAGGAGCGATTCTGTGCCCTTTCTCAGATTTCTTCGGGGTCTTTTCCCATCTCAGCGACTGCCCGTTGCAACTTGCATACCTAATCTGCACCGTTCTTAGGCCTGTAATCTCGTGGCTTACGCTAATAGCTCACTGTAGGGCGTGGTGCGCGGCTGAGGGCGGCTTCCAGTGATGATTTTAATGATGTTAATGTTTTATGAGGGCCAGTGTTGTTAGTTTTGCCGTCGGTTTCCATATTAATGAACTGTAGAAATACTCTTTACAGGTACTTTTAAAGGACGTGTTGTTTAAGATGGCGTGTGAGTCACCGCCCAAGGGTTGATTTATTCCTTCATTCTTGGTCTAACACGTGGTTCCCTCTCCCGCAG